AACCTACAGGGTTGCAGGGTCCGCAGGTACGCACACTCAGTTCGAGCTTGGAGCCCAAGTCCGCCAATAGTCAATGTGCGGCCCCCTCCCTCCGCTCAAAGCGAGCGAGACGCTGCCACAGCGCAGGCGCAGGTGCTGAAGGAAGATGGCCGCGCCAGTGATGTCACTCCAAGGAGATGGCTACGCCCACCGCATCTCCTCCCATGGAAGGTGGCTGCATCCAGCAGGTGTTATACTTTTTCTGCGGGGATCGGCATTCCTAAAACTTCCAAGACCAATTTTCTTATGACGGGGAGGGAAAGTGCCCAATTAAGGATAGTTCTAGCATGAAGGATTTTAGTGTCTTGAATTTGGAGGGCAGCACCATTTTTGCAGGTGTAATTGAACAGTAAGATGGGATGCGAATTGCAAGGGGTGGACGTAGTAGAGGAGGTAGCTCTGGCTCCATCCAGTGGCTGGGGCTGGGAGTTGACAGTCAAGCATTTAAAGGCAAACCAGAAGCAGAAGACTAAATATACAGCGACCTAGGACACGCTTCTGAGCGGAAGGGGGTGTGTTAAATAGGGGTTGACAAATTGCTTCCTTTGGATCGTCAGGGACGACCTTCTTTCGTTGTAAATGACAATTACACAATGCAAAAGAAGCAGGCCACACAAATATCTGAAGCAAAGAGCTTTCTGGTGGAGGGCACGAATGTTAAAGGCCCTGAGGTAGGACCCAGTTTCGAGTCTTGGAGGAACAAAAAGTGTGTCATTGTACTGGGAGTGTAGGAGGTGTGCACAAGGGAGAGGTGAATGGGGACCAGATGCTGTAAGGCTTCCTCTGTCAAGAAGACAGCTCTTGTTTCATTCTGGACCTAATGGGAAGCCATAAGAGGCATCAGATTTTTAAAAGACCAGTCTGAAGCGATCTAACATTATATATTAATGTTAAAAATACACATATATTTGATTCCTGTTTTTTGCCTGTTTTGCATCACTAGAACTCCATAGGGATTTGCTTAGTACCTCCCACATGGCAGGTAGTGTTCTAAATAGTGGAAATATAGCAAGGAAGAAAACAGAAGCAAAAACAACAGACCACGAGGATGGAGACAGCCTTGTTTCAAACACACACCTACCAGCTGTGTAACCTAGGGTAGGAGTCAACTTCTCTGGGTCGTTTCCTCATCTATAAAACTGGGGTACTGACAATACCCCAGTACTTTAGGGTTGTAGTGACAAATGTGTTGATAATTGAAAGGGTTTAGAACAATGCCTAGCACATGGCAAGGGCTAATATAAATGTTGATGATGATTTAAATAAAATTAGATTATATGTGTATAAAACTTTTTTAATAAGAAGAAAAAATAAAAAGATGGTGTTGAGAATGGACTGCAGAGGGCAAGGGCAAAAACAGGAAGATCAGTGAGGAAGCTCCTGCCAACAGGCTCAGCAAGTGATAAAGAGGGCTGAGACCTATCACATTATCTTCCTCTGTGTCAGGCACTGTGTGAAGCACATGACATGACCTACCTCAGAGAGCCCCAACTTCCTGTGAACAGTCCTATGCATCCCCCACACTTCTCAGATAAAGAAACTGAGTCACAAAGAGACTAAATAATTTTCCCAAGGTCACACAGTTTCCCAAGTTCAGATCCTTAGCTGCCACCCAATAATACTCTTATTTATTCAATATCCCATAGAACTTCCAGAATTATCAGAGCTTCCTCATTCTAGAAGCATTAAAAGTAGCCAAAGAATGTTTTTTACCAGAAATACAGATGGAGCTTCCTAGCAGACAAAACAAAAAAGAGAAAGCAAGGGAATAACTCAGATCTCTTGCTTCCTGGGAACAAAATTTATAAGCCCTCTGAATGCATTAGTAAGTAGAAAACAGGAGCAAGTGGACCTTTAGGATCATCCTAATCTGGCCTCTTCCAGCCTATAAATAATATTTCCTTACCATCTTGTATGTGCACACACACACACACGGAGAAAGAAACCCTTTAGGGTTGGTGGGTGTTGGGGTGCAGTGGTTGCCAGCTCCAGAAATGTTCTTAAGCCAGTGATACAGCCCCTCAGAAACTGTCCCAGGGTTCACTATTCACATCCACAAGATATGTGAGGCCAGCTTTTCTGCTGCAGAGCCGGGACCCCTACTCTCTGTCCTGGACATCCTCTACCATCAGGCCCTGCAAGCGAGACCTCCTCATACAGTGGCCTAAGCAGCAGGTAGCTATTTAGGTGAAGTAGTGTGGAAAGCTGACAGATGGTTCCACCACCAAGTCTGCATACGTGACACTCCCACTCAAATGCCCTCAACCTCACTGGTGAGTCATTACAGATGCTCTTAACATACATTTTATCAAACCTATGAAAGTTGCCAATGGTGAGCAGTCATTTTGGACCATGAGGTAGCAGGCGAGGTTGATGGAGCAGCAGCACAGGAGACAGTTCTCTGGTGACCTTGGAGCTATCATGTTTGCACTGAACTACCTATCTCCAAGTGAGGAATCCTCTTCCAACCTCTTTTTTAAAAGATTTTATTTATTTTAAAAAGAAGAAAAGAAGGGAGGGAGAAAGAGAGGGAGAGAAGCATCAATGTGTGGTTGCCTCTCACACCTCCTCCTGGGACCCTGGCCTGCAAACCAGGCATGTGCCCTGAATGGGCATGGAAATGGCGACCCTTTGGTTTGCAGGCTAGGGCTCAATCCACTGAGCCACAACAGCCAGGGCCCCTTCCAGCCTCTTAAAGCCACTGGTATTTGCACTGGTGTCAGTATGTGCAGTCAAACCAAATCCTGACTGATACGCCAGACTTTTCTGTCTTGGTTGACGTGACAGTAAATGTGAGACATGTGGTACTGGGAGGGTGGTAAATAATGGTGAGTGAAGAACAAATTGGGAATGAATTTGGAGAGGCAGAGGACTATGGAATGGAGATGAAAGAGCAGTAGATTGGAATGAGTGTGAGTAGTGTGGGGCAGAGTGAGGAAGTAACTATGCATTAGATTGTGCCATAATCTGAAGTTATGGATGAGACAGAGTACATGATGGGAAAATGAGATATAATCTAAGTGGCAAAGAGTTAAAGTAGGAGCAGACTCTGAGTTCACTCATAGTGAATGGTGGTCATGAAAGGTGGAAATATGAATGGAGTTGATAACACATTAGAGTTGATATGAATACTAAGGATTACAGTGTTAATGAAGGGTGGTTTATGAGGCAGAGTATGAGCAAAGAGAGGTGAATTTCAGGGGAAGGTAGGAGTGAATGGAGGTAATGTGGTGCATAGAGGGAAGAATGGGGTACACAAAGGACAGAATAAGAGAGAATGGAGATAAATCCACAGTAGACTATGAATACATGAACCAGGTTGAGTTTGAGTGGAGATACTATGAGGGGGAGGAGAGCGACAAAAGGTAAATGAGAAGCAGGCTAGGATTAGATAGGAGTAATCCAGGGCAATGTTCCAGGGATGTACAGGGGTCCCAGTGTAAATCAACCCAGATGCATGTGAGTAAATGAAGGCAATGTCGGGCAGGGTGAGAAGGGACAGAAGTAAAAGGCAGAGTAAGGTGAGTAACTGGGTATTGTGAGGCAAAGGAAGAGGGAATGAAGGTCCACTCACATGGCCCAAGATAAGTAAGGTGAGGAAAATGGGGCACAATATGAGCAAAAAGTGGTGAATTTGAGGTAGAGTGTGACAAAATGGGGGTATTGTGGGGCAGAACGGGAGCAACTAGACTTGAAACAGGAGCAGAATGGGAGTGATAATGGGAAACAGGAGTTACACTGGGAGTGGATTTAAATGAATGAGATAATGAAAGGTAGAGTGCGAGTAAACGGAAGCACTGAAAACAAAATTGAGAAAGCATAGAGGCAGCCAAGCACAGAGTGAGTATACCTAGGCAACTTGAGCTAGTGTTTAGGAGTAATATGAAACAAGTCCAGGAAACAGGGGTGTATAGAGGCAGCATTAGAGAAAACAGAGGTGAAGAAATGACAGGGAGAGAATAAGGGAGAAAAATGAGGTCCAGAGTCGATGAACAAAGCTGAAGGATGGGCCACGTGAGACTGAATGGGAGTCATTTGATGCAGTGTCAAGGAAGTGGAGGTGAAAACAGGAAATGAATGTGAGTGAATGGAGGTGAAAAATGAATATGACATGGGAGAATTGGGATAATGACAAGCAGAGAGTTAGGGAATTGTAGTAATAGGGGGCCCAGTGTGAATGAATGAGTGGATGAGAGGCAGTGTAAGTGAATGGGGAATAAAAGGTAGAATGAGAACAAAGGTGAAAAAGCAGTAGAGTGTGTATACATATATAACATATAATGTAAAATGAGGCAGAGTGTGGGGTAACATGGGGAAGATTCCAATAAATTAGGATGAAACAGGGCACAATAAGTGAAAGATGTGGTGAGAATGAGTAAATGGAGGTAATGGGGGGCAGTGACTGAGGATATGGTGGTCATATTTTGCAAAGCACAAGGAATCTGAGTTAGTAGTAGGCACAGTATAGTGAATAGAGCTGACTACTCAGCAGAATGGGGGGAATGGAGGTGCAGGACAGAATGAGTAAAAATGGAAGTAACCAAAAAAAAGAAAAAGAAAAAGAAAGAAAGAAAGTGGAGGTAACCAAGTGCTAGAGAATGATTAACAGTAGAGTGACACAGTTAAGGAATGTAGAGGAATGCGAGCCAAGCATGTATCCTGTCTGTTCTTTGTGTGTCCCCAGCACCCCTCTCTCTGTATCTCTGACATCTCAGTTTCTCCCTCTTTTTGTCTCCTTCCATCTCTGTATATATGTCAGTGTCTTTCTTTTCGTGTGTGTGTGTGTGTGTGTGTGTGTGTGTGTGTGTAACAGGGCTGGCACTAAAAAAGATGGAGGTGCCCAACCCTCTGGCTTCTGTGTTCCGGAACATCTATCACTTAGATCTTTGCTCATAAAGCCCAGAGTTCCAGAATGCTCTAGTTCTGAATGCTGCCATGGTGAGTCTGGAGCAAGGAGTCTACTAGGAAGGCTTATGGGAGTCATAATGCAAGCCTGGGGCACTGTGGTGGTGACCCTCATGCTGCTGGTTGCCACTGTGGATGCCAAGATTTATGAACGCTGCAACCTGGCAATGAAGCTGGAGAAGGCAGGCCTCGATGGCTTCCAAGGCTACGGAATTGGAGACTGTGAGACCCCACTTGCCCCATGCCCTACCTACACCCCAAGCTTCCCACTCAGATACAGGCCCCCACTTGTCATTTATCACCTCCCTAGGCCAGGGCATAATCCCCTCAGTCACCCCCTGACTGACTGTGGTAAGTGATTTAACTAACTCTAATGTTATTACCATCATCACCTTCACAATCACCCTCATCTCTACCATCAACACCATCACTACCATCAATGTCATCACTGCTATTACCACCATGAATACCATAAACACTGCTATCATTGACATCTCACCAAAATCACCAACATCAGCACCACCACCAAACCAAGAACATCAACCCCACAACTGAGATGACAACCATCCCTGTCTCCACCCCACTCCTCCTAACCTCTTCTATTCCTAGAACCCATGCTCACCTGCTACTTTCCCTCTCTCTGCCCCAGGGCTATGCATAGCACATTATGAGAGTGGCTTTGACACCTCCTTCATGAACCACAATCCTGACGGCAGCAGTGACTACGGCATTTTCCAGCTGAATTCTGCCTGGTGGTGTGACAATGGTGTTACACCCACCAAGAACCTCTGTCATATGGAGTGTCGTGGTAAGGCAGCAATGGGGATACCCAGAAGCCCTGCCTGGCCCCAACACACAGAGGGCAAAGTTATCTAAGCCATAATCTCCAGTAACAAGCAGAAAACAATAGGGAAAGGAGTAGAGTTGCCTGGGCTGTTAGAGACACCACCCTTTCTCCTAACCCAGACTGCACTGAAGAGTTGTTTGGGTCAGGAGGACTCAGAGCTCCTAAACCTCACCCAGAATGGAGGCTGCAGTTTTCTGGAACTCAGGAAACAGGAAGCTTCACTTCATGTGGAATTGCAATTGCCCTGATTTAGGGTAGAGGTTGTTCATTCCCTGGGGTGAGGGAAGAAGCAGATACCTAATTGTAGAAACAAAAACAAGGCACCTCTGTGCAAAAAGGAGAGAAATTTCTAGATAAAATTGTAGTGTTGTTGAAGACAAAATTGAGTAGCAGAAGTTGTTTTAAGTTGGCCAAAATGGTGTTTGAGGTTGTCCAAGACAGATCAAAATGGAGACTGAGGTTATTTGGGTCATTCATATCATAATCAGTCAAAATGGGAGTTGAGGTTATCCAGGACCTGACAACATAGTGTTTAAAGTCACCAGGACAGACCAACCTTGCAGTTGAGTAGCTTCCCAACCAGCCAACATGGTGGTTCACGTGATGTCAGGTCAGCTACCATTGCAGTTGAGATAATTCATAACCACATAAAATGAGAGTTGGAGTCATATAGCACTGGCCAACATGGACTTTAAGGTTGTCCAGAACTGATCAATATGGTGGTTGAGGTTATTTATAACCAGCCAACATGAGAGCCAAGTTCATTCAGGATGAGTCAAAATGAGTTAAGATTGTACAGGCCCAGCCAACACGATAGTTGAGGTAACCAGCTGACAAGTATATCAAGGTTATCCAGAATCAGCTAATGTAGTTGTTGATGTTATTCAGGCCCCCCAAAAAAACCAGGACCCCTGGACCCTACCTACACTGTTACCCTGTCTCCAATGCATCAGATCATTATATCTCTCTCTTTCTCCCAGACCTTCTCAACCGCCATATTCTGGATGACATCTTGTGTGTCAAGCAGGTAGTGTCCTCACAGAATGGTATGAATGCCTGGTAAGTTCACAGGAATGGCTTGGACCCTGGGCAGCGTGGGGTAGTGGCACCACCACCCCATCAGCCTGTCCACTTCATCCTTCCTTCCTCCTTCCTTTTCCCAGGGGTTCCTGGATCCGGTATTGTTATGGCCATGATTTATCTGAGTGGCTCAAGGGGTGTAGTATGAATGCAAAACCTAACACAGAGAGAATTACTTCATAACTCATTCCCGGAAACAGATTTTATTTTCCTTCCTTTTCTTTCTTTTGTGGACTTAATAAAGGATGGTACCTGTAAGCAATGCAAGAGACCTCTGATGCCTGACCCTCTTCATTTTTCCAATGACTGGAGGTACCCCCATTCAACCAGATTCATATATTCAAAGCTCTAATCAGGGGACACCAGATCACTCAGGGTCGTAGAGGGTGTGGAAGATAGTGTACTGATTAAGAGCATAGGTTCTCTCGGGTTCAAATACCATCCCTACCACTTAATATCTCCAAACTCTGTACCTTGAAGGAGGCACTTAATATCTCCATGCCTCAGTTTCTCATCTGTAAAATGAGGATGATAATGACAGTAACTATCATGGGGTTGTGGGAGAATTATGTTTGTAAAGCACATAAAGTGAAGGGTGAAGATAATTGGCTTCCCTTAAAAGTATCACTCTCAGTTGAGGGCACTACAGGGTCTTTAATTAAAGCAGATACAGTCTCTTCAGGAAGCTCAGTGGGAAATAAAAGTTCAAAGTACTCACATTCTTCCACATCCTCCCACATATTACCATTCTAACTCTCAGCCCCCATTCCCTCTTTCACAATCAATATCCTAAGTTTAAAATGATAGACTGAGAATTTAGCCCAGGGATTAGATGAATGTACAAGGTAATAATTTCCTTTTATGAAAGGCCTGGGTTTTAGTCTGTGCCTGGAGCAGAGAATTTAGGAATCTGAACTTGTGACTCTTTGTGCTGCCAGCCCAATTGGAAGCAGCCACCCCCATGGAAAAGCAGTCCTTTATGTCCTTTGTGCTCTTTGGTTAGGTGTGGATACTTATCTACTCAAAGACTTGTTTTCAGTGTTTACTTCATCCAAGTTAAGCACAGATGGTCATTAAAGCATCTATCTGCCACTGCATGTCAAGGAATTCCCGAGGCCCCATCCTTAATGCCAACTGGATTTCCTCTGGTTTAGCCCCAACCAGTCTAGATAACCAAATCTCACATTTCCTTGAAGGTCCAAAATGGGTGCTATTACTCATTGTACCAATTTCTGAATGTGATAGTTATTCATCAAAAGCAGAAGAAATAAACTCTGGTGTCTTTAAGTAATAAGCAAATTTCCTAAAAGCTTATCAGGTATTTCTGGGAAGACTGCATAATCAAGCTCAGAAAGGGTGAAGCACACCCAAAACCCTGACCATAAAAGAGGCTGGAGAAGAAATACTGTATTATCAATTGTTGCTACTTCTGGAAATTGGATTTGATGCCCTAGTGTTTTTTTCTTTAATTTGTTCTGATTACACATCCTTTCTAATAATTTATGATATTTATAGTATATTTATAATCATTGTTCCTTTAGTGGTCATCTTTAAATCTGTAACATTGTATCCATTGGTAAACCTTTTATTTCTTGTTCATGGTACTTACTCTCCATTATGAGAGATGCCAAACAGCTATTCTTAATAATATATTTTATTAATTTTTCTATAAGAGTTTAGTATTAATACTGAAACATTTCCCTAATTATTTCCATGGGACTGTGTTTATCAAAATAAAGTGGGTTTCTTTGGATACTGTGCCAAGATTTACAGTGAGGTTTAGCTTTTAGCTAAAGGCTCTCATACATTCAAAGCCTCAAAAGATTACAGACTTGAACAATATCTCTGATGTAAGTCATTCAGTACAAACCCAGGATAACAAGTACAGAGGCCAAGTTGTTTTGCATCAAGACCTTGGTTCTTGCTACTCCTTCTGCCTGGAATGTTCTTACCCCCAGGATGGCGGACACCTCATTTTCAGGTCTAAGCTCAAAATGTCACATTCTCAGAAAGGCCCTGCCTGGCCATCTTAGCTAAAGCATGATCCCCAACCTCATCTTTTCCTTTTTCTTTGACTTTTCTATGAAGGATTTCCCATCTTCAGTTCTGTCACAAGCTTTCTCTGAGTTCTTTAACCCATCATGAAACTTAACTTCAGGCAGAAGGTTTTTCTCATATTCAGGACAGTCATAGGGTTTCTATCCTATGTGGGTTCTCTAATATACAGTGAGTTTTGACCTCTTACTGAAGGCTCTACTACACTTATCACATTTATAGGGTTTCTCTCCTATATGAGTTATTTAACATATAATAAGATATAATTTCTGGCCCTGGCTGGTGTAGCTCAGTGGATTGAGCGCGGGCCTGCGAACCAGACAATCGCGGTTCGATTCCCATTCAGGGCACATACTGGGGTTGCAGGCAGGTTCCCTGCAGGCCAGTTCCCAGCAGGGGACGCATGAAAGGCAACCATACATTGATATTTCTCTCCCTCTCTCCTTCCCTTCCCCTCTAAAGATAAATAAATAAAAATCTTTAAAAAAAGATATAATTTCTGGACAAAAGCTTTATCACATACATTTACACTCACAGGGTTTTTCCCCTGCGTGAACTCTCTGATGAATAATGAGATAGGATTTCTGGAAGAAAGCTTTATCACACTCATTGCATTTATAGCATTCATAGGATTTCTCAAAATTTTCTCCTAAGTGCGCTCTCTGATGTAACATAAGCTATGACTCCCAGAAGACTTTTCCACATACACTACATCCATCAGATTTTTCTCCTGTATGAATTATTTCATGAGCACTGAGACTTAGCATAATGGTGAAGGCTCCTCAATGTCTTAACACATATAAGGTTTCTCTCCTGTATGAGTACTCTGATGTCTACCTAGTGTTGATTTCTCTCTGAAGGATTTACCATATCTATTACATTCACATGGTTTATCTCTTGTGTGTGTTCTCTGGTGTACACTGAGGTGTGCCTTTTTTAATATTAATTTATACACAATGGAATTCTATGCAGCAGAGAGAAAGAAGGAGCTACTACCTTTTGCAACAACATGGATGGAACTGGAAAGCATTATGCTGAGTGAAATAGGCCAGGTGCTGAAAGACAAATACCATATGATCTCACCTTTAACAGGAAGCTAAACAATAAAACAAACAAGCAAGCAGGAAAAAAAAGACACTGAAATAGAGAACAACGGGACAGTAACCAGAGGGGAGAGGGAAGGGAAGTAAAGGGGAAAAAGGGGGAGGGATTTGGAGGAACAAATAGGAAGGACACAGGGACGAGAACTAAGGGGGGTGGAAATGGGAGGGAGGTGGGGAGCAAGGGGCAGGGGAGGCTGGGATGGGAGAAATAGACAAAAAAAACTGTACTTGAAAAATAACTAAATAAAATTAATTTTTAAAAATATTAATTTATTTATTTATGTTTAGAGGGGAAGGAGAGAGGGAGAGAAACATCAATGTATGGTTGCCTCTAGTGCATCCCCTGCTGGGAACTAGCCTGCAGGGAACTGGCTTGCAACCCAGGCATGTGCCCTGACTGGGAATTGAACCGCGATCCTCTGGTTCACAGACCTGCACTCAATCCACTGAGCTACACCAGCCAGGAAGAGGTATGCCTTTTGATTGAAGGTTTTCCCACTCTCAAAACATTCTCCTGTATGAGTTCTCTGATGTATAATGAGCTTTCTCTTTTCTCAGAAGGTTTTGCCACATTCATTGAGTTCATATGGGTTTTCACCTTTATGAGTTCTTTGATGTTTATGCAGTGATGATCTCTCTCTGAAAGATTTGCTACATTTGTTACATTCAAAGGGTTTTTCTCTTGTATACACTCTCTTATGTACACTGATGTATGCCTTCTTGTTGAAGGTTTTTCTGTATTCTACACGTTCATAGGGTTTTTCTCCTCCTTGCAGTAAGGAGTAAATTCTTGTGGAGAGTTTTTCTACACTCACAAATTATTAATAAGTTTCCTTTCCAGCTTGAGTTGTGTTATACCGAACAAAGAATGGGTTATAATTATGACTTGTCTCACCCACAGTATAGTGATGGGATTTCACTCTGTCCTTTTTCTCATACCTGCCATAAATTAATAATTTACCACATTCAGTACATTGATAACCTTTCTGTGCTATGAAGCTCTATTAGGACTCAGTAAGGCTAAATTATCTGTAGAACTTTTCCATATATATATATATATATATATATATATATATATATACATATATACATAAATATGTATGTGTGTGTGTATGTGTGTGTGTGTGTGTGTGTGTGTGTGTATATATATATAGTGGGTGATAAAGAAACCACCCATGTATTCTGAGGAAATGGGTTTACAAATCCATGACATTCATGACCTATCTCCTAAGTTACATTCTTCTTGTTAATGGACATAGCTTGCCTCAGGTGTCTCTTGGTTTTCCTGGTACCTCTCCAGCTGGTCATCAACTTGCCAGACTTATAGAAAGAAGAAGCCATACCCTGTAAATACACCTTTGCCATAACCAGATCTCTGGTGGGCTGACTTTTATTTTAAGTCTATATACTACTCAGAAGTACATGTCTATCTTATACCCTGAGCTTGAGAAGGGAAAAAAAAAACAAATTTCTCTAATAAAAATTGAAACAGGAAAGTAATAAATGTGTGACTTTGATTGTTTAAGAAACTATACCTTAAAATTGAGGAGAGAAGGTGAAAATAAGGTTTAGGAAGCCATGAGTAGGAAGAAAGGATTTTGAAAAGACAGTAGATCCAGGATTTGGAGGGAGGGGACTCAAATAGAATGAAAATAAACTTTCAGGAAAGCTGAAAATAACTGAGGTGACCAAGAGAATAAGCACCATGTCATTCTAAGATTACCATCAGACAGTAACTCACAAAACTAACAATTTGGAGTTAACCAAAAAAAGTTCAAATCCTTTAGGAAGATAGCCCTGAGCCTTCAAAGATATCCAGCTCTCACCGATCCACTGGGATCTTACTCTCACTGTCTCTCACCTGTTCATTTCTTATTTACCTGTACAATTCAAAATCGGGATTTCTCTCTCTATAATCCAAAGTCCCCTCTTCTCCAAGAGGCAATCACATCTGGTTTGGTAACAGGATACCCTGTAATGGAAAATGTTACAAGAGTTTAGCACATCTGTTTGGGTTTCAGGGCC